AAACCGGGTTTCGATACCCGTGGTGGGCAGAACACAGATAGCCCATTGTGTAGCTTTGGGCTTAATTACAAACAAACAAACAGACACGAAGGAAACTGTAAAGTTTGTTTCTTTTAGAGCTGGTGTGTAAAGCTACCTTATGTACTATCTGTACATAGCCGTTCTTAATTTTGAACTGATAGACTAAAGGAAGGGCAGTTAATCAACAGTACCCTCCGCCAAATCATGGGCTACTCTTGTAAAATCAAAGAATTGGGGTTGACCTTCACTCTTATAGATCACTCCCGGTTCATAAAGTGTTGAGCACATTTTTGTGGCCTCAGCCCTCTGATTTACAGTTCGAGCACACAAAACCACTTGGCCAATGCCCAGCCCAAAAATTTAGTTGTTCAAAAGTGGCTGATTTGTAAACAAGATGGTAGAATAAAAGTTTTAAAACTAGAGTAGGTGAACGAATGTTAATCAGCAAATTATCTTACAAGATATTTAACAAGAAAATTGAAAGTCTGTCGTGGATATCACTCTAACGAACTGTGTGCTTATCTTTTTGGACTGTCTGCTGTGTCCACCGCGGAGAATCCAGCCCCGGATTTTAAGAGATGTAACTTCCTAGACTTACCGCTGTCCCCAAATGAAATCTTCGTGCTTTTAGCTCAGGTATTTTGGTGTAGTTTGGTTAATTAAGCTCCAATCACGAGTAAGTTGCTGTTAGATACTAACGAATCTTTCGTTCCCCCTCCCAAAATTCCTCCGGCTGTTTACATTAAATTAAATCTATTTTCAGGTAAAAAAAGCTCACCATTTATGAAGATTTTAAAATGTATGATTTAAAAAGATATCACATAACGTTCTGGTTTATATATATTGTTACGCCTCCAGTCGTTAGTTAATTTTCCGTAAATTCGTTCCGACGAAACTTTAGCGACACAAGTCCTTTCTTAAATAAAACTGGTTTATTCTTTCTGAATATAACTTTACGATACACTTAATTTCAACAGTCGCTCTATAACAACGCTATAACTCACGTCTCACGTGGCCAACAATATTTTGTCTGCATACATTCAATTACTCATTACCTCTGTTGTCCCGTCACGTTGTC